TATATATATATATGATAAAAAAAGATTTTGAGCCCATCGTCGCAAAAGAAAGCTTACCATTAAACGGTGCGGGAATATGCGCATTTCGAATGTATACACAATCTATATCTGAAAATAGCTAGCTTTGCTCAGTTATAGTTGTTCTTAGCACACTTTCTTCAGATAAAAAATCTCTAATTAGTATGTGTCACAAGCGAAAATGATGCTAATGTGCTGTTAAGTGTCAACTAATCCTGATGGTTTACGCCTAAATTACCGTCAACCTACATGCTTACCTAGCGGGCATTTTGCAATAACAGCCTATCATTTGGGATCCTGCATCTCAACTACAGTCAGGACGCTCGAACATGCATAATCACAAGCATTAGTAATAATAATTAGTACTATTTTCGATGCTGTTTTTCCAGTCGAAACTGTATAACTTAATAAACAATTGAATATATATGTGTATGTACATGATAGATTATTATAAACATCAAGGTCTAAGTGAATCGGCAATTGCGGAACGAACCAGGCTAAGTAGATGTAAAAAAACGCGCCATGCTGTTCTTCGATATTTGCCTTTTTTTGGTACACTTCGTTTCGAGCCGGAAGGTTCAGGCAGCCAAAAGTTGAGGTTTTCTCCTCTCTGGCAAACGTGAATATCCAAGGGGCAAAAGACCGAGTCTAACGGGCTAGGTCCTTCTTTCTCATGTCGACCTTAGTGATCAATTTCGTTTACATGGCATATATGCAACTACTACTTATTTACTTCTTCTTTAGCATACGTAGCCTTTCATATAAGCTATTATTAAACAGATATTATAGCTATTGTCAAAAATATATTGCTTTTAAAATGTTACTTTTATATTTGACGCAATAGTGTAAATAAATGGCAAAATCCTCTACACTATGCACTCATATTGCCCTTTAGAGAAATTCTGATCTTCACACTTCTTCCAATACTTTCTTTTAAGTTACGCTAAAACACTGAACAGCCAAAATCGTTTGATGTGTATTACTCTCATCATAGAACTGCCTTATGTATCTGAATTACTATGATAGGTTATTTGAAACTATCCACCGATTTTACGAATTTCTTTCTATTGCCGATACGGTTTTATTGGCCCAGAAGAAAATACAGCATTTTCGACGAGGTATGCTCGTCGTTCAGATTGACCTTTAAGGACAACGAATTAGGACGCTGACTTACTTAGCTTTTTGGAAAGGCCATATTTTGCGATGTACAATATCGCCTGAACACGACCAGAAAGGTCGTGCAACGAAGTGGTCGTGCTACCGTTCGACCAAAACTGTAGGAGAATCCTGTCTCGAGTTCACAGGAGTAATAACTTTCAACATTAATTTTCAATTCGTACGCTTGTTAGGCAGAGAACACTGATTTAGCCTCACAGCCCTTTCTCTAACGCAGATGTCGTTCCTGAATGAAGCAGTATACAGCCGACAGTTGGTATGTTTTAGTAATAAACCAGATCGACGTCTTCCGAACTAACTGTACCGCCGCAAACACGCGTTTAGAAAAGGACCGATACAAATTCAACGGAAAATTCGAGATACGTTGGTAACATGGTGCGAAAAAGTCTTTGCTCTACTAGCCGCAAAAACTATTATAAGCTTTTTACCAATATACACGTCCCAGATTCGAAGTAATTGAGAGACCCGCACTGGATCAGCAAATTGCTTGCTGCGTCTCGGTAGGCTACCCTAAAAGGAAGCCTTTCCTGATTAGAGAGCTCAAGGCAAAACTCTTGCCTATAGATAAAAACAGCCTGGAATTGCCGAACTCGGTCGTACTTATCTGTGACTATTGGGGCCAAACCGTTTACCAAATTCGGCCAACGAGAATTGGGTTTCGTGAGATCGTCAGCGACGAATACTTTGTAACCGCTGTAGGAACACGCGGTGAGATTCAAATGCGCGGTGAAAGCGGTTCCGTCAATATGAAGCAGGAATTTAGAGAGACTGTTTTCAAAGTAAAGGTCTCGCTGTCCTGGTGTTCTTCCAGAAATAAGTTGAACCGGCTTCTCCGTCACTCCCAATATCGAATCGCTTCATTAATAGGACTGATTAATTAAAATTAAGCGCGTCACAAAGAGAGTGCTTAATATTCTCTAAATTTGCTGAACGCTTTCAACGTTCATTTTTGTACGGTTACCTTATTTGTCATCTTTCAGATTACTACGCTTAAGTGGTCTGACGGCACTCGATGACTATGTCAACCGATATGCCCGGAAAGGCACTGCATATTTAAGGGCTTTATGTATATCCAGTGTCTTTTATGTTTGTTCAGGAATTAAGGATTTTTCGAAAGTACATCACCCAACATTAACCAGGACACGTATTATCTGGTACAGTACATCACGTAAGGGGTGTCTCATACGATGTATCGAGGCCCACTATGAAGACTGCAGGTTTCTTATTAAAACAGGTTTGCAACAGCAAAAAAAAAGGACCCTTATGCTAAGCGTAACTTCCAGTTGCGTTTCTAGGTAAAGAATAAAAGACTTAGATTAGAAGTCTAACCAGAGATGGTCTGGCAGGGCCTGTTCGGAGAAACGGCGTGACAATCTCCATAACTTCAAAGAAATTGTACTAAAATTGATAGCTGCTTGAATAACTGCTAGGTCGTTTCGTAAAAAAATGAAGAAAAAAAGACATCTTGACAACGTTGCTCTTAAACGCGAGGATTATGTTGAGCCTTTATCGGCCAGATTGTCTTTCTCTATCAGTAGAACATTGATTTTATAGATGAGTTCCTATGAGACGCATCCGATGCTAAGATTTGACTCGGTTCAGATTGTTAGCGATTTTTTATTGACCAAGTTTAAAAAAAGCAGGGATATTTCGGAGCAACTGATCGCTTTTTTTGATTTTATTAAATGTTCTGCAAACGAACAAACGGCTACTTCCATTTCGGAAGTTTCGCTCTTTCAGAACTAAATTTACAAAAATAAGTTGAGAGTCTACAAGCTATATAAATTACACGACTGATTACGCTAAAATTCTATATGGTATGTATAAATATTCTATATAAGGCTATATGACAAAGTATTAGATTATATTCTGCAACACGCTTCCTATGTATTACTTTCTACGCTGTACATACCTAACGCTGTATGCGTTTTCTTATATCCAGTTGGTCCAACGGAAGCTAGGAACCGGCAAAAGTCATTTATGATATTCTCTATGAACCTTTGATTTGATCATCCCTGATAAAGGTATTTGATTTGTCAAATTATTTTACTTTAAAGTCTGGGAACCTCACGTTCCAAATGGAGTAGGCTTAACCATCCTTCGATCCATTGTCTGATCTTGCGTTGTTCTGCTTATTTTGAAATATGGTACGCGTACTTGATCATAAAAGGCAACAAAGAAACCATGCCACGGACAGACAAAAAATTCTTGATCATGTTGTCCACTTTTTCATTTTTCTCACTTCATACATTTAGCATGATCTATATACACACAGGATAAGTTGAAGAAGAAGATAATTTTTAACATTTCGGAAATCTTTTGCGGTGTGCGATACTGGCTGTAGCTTGATGAGGACCATTTCGTACGCATCACTCATCGTGTTAGATCTGCAATCAAATGATAATATAACTCATCAATTCTTGTTCTTACAAACGTTTTTTTTTTTACTTGTTCACATGATACAGCATTATTTTAAATAAATTCGGTCTTTACCAAAAGCACTTACGGGATTACAAATGCTATTGTGCCCTATACAATAAACCAGGACCTTGCATTTTAACGTGAGGAAAGGTGCTGACAGAAATAAACATGAGGCATTGGTTGTTGAGTTACTAGGAGAGCTAATGGTAAGTTTGCCTGAAGCAGCAAATATTTTAACAAAGAATTCTTAAAGAACCTTCAGAATGGCGTGATATAGACGTATATTAGCGACCTTTGTATGCGGGTGTTCGCCTAAGGGGCAAAGTTGGTTTGCAACTGCATAGATGAGGTACTATCTCTCCCACAAGCACAATAGTTTGACTAGCGTTGGCTTCTATAAATATAGGCTACTGGGTAGAGCAACAATGTTGAATATGCCTTATCATAGTGATGTTCTGGCACAGGACTTCATCTTTCATCAAAGAATAAATCCTTGTCCTTACCTTCTATTACTTTAAGGTATGGCGATGCCATAGCAGGCTATACTTCAGTATGACTGTACTTCTAAAACTGTCGAGTGTAACAGAAGGATCGAATGTATAAAATGGTAAACGTGTTCCTAAAATCAGAAATATTCTTTTGTGTTTTAATTGGAGTTATCAGAAATTGTGAGAATGTTCGTGCTCTTGGTTAATCCTCTGGATACGGTGACTATAAATGCAAATGCAATAAGATACATTGTAATGAACTGTTCTATGTAGGAACACTGTTCAGCAGTGAAACTTTTGCTAAACTGTCGTTCCACTGATTCGAGTTATTTCTCTATCCCATTTTTGTAACTAAAAAAGAAAATTTAAATAAAAATGCGCAGCTTTTCTATAAATATTGCTTTTAACTGACAATTGTTTTCGCTAGGCCTGTCTAGAACGCCAGCACGTTTATGTCACGCGTTCCTTGGATTTTCCTCTTCGATTTTCTCTTTTTCTATTAGACGTTGTAGTACAATCAAGCTTGAATACAATTGTAAAAAATGACCTTGCGCTGCGCGAGTTCCCTTTTAACTGGCGCTGAACTCTACCTGAAAAACCTTAATTAGCTAGATAATTAGCTAGAAGCTAATTGACCAGAAGCTTCATTTTTTCTGCACATTTTTCTTTTACTACTAAATCGTTCGGTGTCCGATACCGACCTTAGAGATGCCAATCGTTTCTATAAACCAAACAGTTCAGTCCGCGGTTACAACCTACATTTTCAAAGTAACTATTGGATGCGGTAGCAGTGTAAGGCGCCATGCTATTGGTAGGGCTTGGAACCACACCAGATTTGTGACCGGTTTATTTTTTTCTCGGCGAACAGAACTAGACACGGCAACTAAGGGAAGCGTTATAGGTTACATCGATGCGTATATGCGGACGCGTGTAACGGACGATTCAGGCATGCTTGCCCTGATCTCTTCCCTGATGTTCTGTGATAGTTGATAACATTATTGATCACATGTAACAGCTTTGAAACTATGGCAGTGTAATCATCTGTATAATAGAGGTAATTTCGGAATAGCGTTTTGGCCCGTATGCTATGCATAATAACATCGAATAAATTACCTCATGCGTGTGCCCGCAACGGCCTTAGAGACACAATGTACTCTGCAATTATAGTACGTTTTTTTATACGTTCATACATTCATACGTTTTTTTTTTGTTTTTCATAGACGCTTTGTTCATTTCAATATCGTTGCTGCTGCTACGTAACGAAAGAACGGAAACATCGAAGTAAAAGCTACGGGATATAGCGGAATTTACCAGCTGGCTTCTCCGATTGGCTTAACGTGTTAGTCGGCATGAAAACGAAATTTTGTAATTAACAAGATACGTCAGGTAAATATCTACTGAGGAGGTGAACAGTTTTTTCTAGAGTGAACATTATCACATGCTCATTAGATTATTATTTTGTGCGATTTTTCCATATAGAAGATGGTTTTTTGGCTCGTTTCACCCGCCTGGCGACGCTGTATTGTGTCGGCAAAGCCGTACTCCCGTCGACGCCGATGGCAGACTCCTGTTGGCCGAGAATTAATAGCACAACAACGCAGTACGTTGCAAGGAGGATATGTAATAGATTCCACGACTGAATGGAACTCGACACGAGAATATAGGCTGCCACTGGCAGTAGCAAAACTTAAGAAATACATGGCGCTCATCATGATGTATGTTAATCAGGCTGGCACCTACTCGAAGGTCGGTGTGGTAGTGGACTTTGTATTCTTCTAATAATTGTCTTTTAAATTGTCCTCCGTTGTCGCTAGTGGCAAATATATCAACATTTCACAGATAGGCACACCTAGTTTACATTACGATGTGAAAAGGATGGTGAAGGCTCGTTTTTGTATAACACAGCGCAGTGTTCGTGGTTGGGTTAGGTATTTTTTGCCCAACGGCTAGCTGAACAGCCTAATCAAATTCTGCGACTTAGAAATTGTCTTAAAAACTTATCATTAATACCAAATAATGCTATTCCTGACTAGCGTTCGCTTTGTTCAGGTGTGCGCCGTTCCAGAAGACCTCGACGTATTGAGGTATATAGCCATTCAAGTAAATAACGGCACGATGGATCCAGAGGACCAGCTCGGAGTTGTTCAGTTTTGCTGCGAAATGCTCAATGAAGTACGTGAACATTTAGCCTTAGCCGTCCGTTTCTCATCCCCGAAATGTCAACGATTGTTAATATAATAATAATAATAACGAAATGTTAAAAATTGCAGTTCGCAAACTGCAGTTTTCTCTATGCACTGATATTATTACTTGGGACACAGGGGTAGAAATTTTCACTGCTGAATTATCTTTTCAGATCGAAGTAACAATAGAAGAAATCAGGGAGCCAGAACACGGCCTTCGCTTAAATCGGGAGGGGTACATAATTAAAATTCAAAACTTTGGTGATGTTGCGCTGGATCAAAAAATATCAGTAAGATTTCGGTCTGAGCTACCATTAGAGGCAAAAATTGAGGTGAGAGGCCATGCTGTGCGCCCAATTTTAAGTACGTCTTCCTAAAAACACGACGACCAGGCGCTTGACAGTCGTATGAATGTTACGTAGATTCCAAAAAAAATAATTTTATGATGGCCGTTTGCATTTTTTTTTACTATGTAATAAGCAGTACCATGCAAATATTACTGACGGCGACGAAAAACTAATATTGCTTAAGTTTCATAGGAAACACCATTTTTCATTCTATAAAGTAAAATGCAAGCATTAAACTGAAGTAACGATAAGAGCAATAATTACTCTTCATCAGTTCATGCACTTAGACACATGTATTCTAACAATATCGGTTCTTTCGAATTTTCGTTACTGTCTTCCTATTTTCATTTGTTCTTCATTTTTAGGAGCTACTACAAGTTGTCCCCGCATTTCCCGAGTCCATTACACTCATCTATTCCGGAAATCCAGAGCTGGTGGAACCCCTGCAGATTACTCAGATCAATTCGAAAGCGAAACATCTCTCGTTGCAACTTCAGAGCTTGCCGAAAGATTTTAGGAGACCTTGTGAGGTTTACAAGATCAGCTTAATAGTAACGTGGAAGGGTCCTTCCGCCAAATTTCCTGCAGTTAGGGCTAGACTGTACAGAAAGATGCATGAGAATTTTCTTCAGATCCGAAAAATAACAAATCATCTCAAAGAGGCCTTAAACAGTAAGGCCCTACTAGCTGCCATTACTCACATATCTAATTTAAATCCCAACGATATAGAAGGCTGGAAGGAGGCGAGTTACTTACTTACGTTTATGGATGACACGTACAGGAAAGCACTTCAGGAGTACGAAAGGATGTCCTCTATCAAAGCATTGTATATAGACCCAGAAGGTCGTAACACTCTTACTAAAATGGAGGATATGGCGTCAGAAGACAAGTCAATTGTCCTTCAGCTGCAGGATCTCGCCGATGCAGTCCATCGATGCAGGGTGCTGTTGGAGAGCTCTTTGCTGCGCGGCAAACAACGGGAAGGAGTTGGAATTTATAGAACAAAAAGTAGTGGTTAGGACAGTGCCGATGACAGAGTAGCGGTATAATTGGACACAATGTACAAAATACAGTTTGCTTACAATGATTGATATTCGCGTTTCCTTAAATCCCATTCTTGTCTCGTTGCAAAATACCTATATTTCAAGTTGGGCGCGAATAATCTGGGTTCGGAACCGGACATAGACACGCTTCGGTTCACGTTGGAATCAGCAGCATGCTTTAGACTCCTTATTTTCCAACGTGAATTTCCATCTTCTGTCCCGAAATTTTCGTTGAGGACTTCCGTTAAGCTCTGCTTTTTCGTGTATTTTTTCACGTAAACGCGACTCGAACGGCTCATTTTTTGGTTCTGTGGCCGTCATAAAATGTTTAACACATTATACAGTGTTATGTGCTTTACCACTTATTGCGTGTCAATACTTTGTTGTGAATCCACATTTAGATGCACTGTTGGCCTTCCTTTTCCTACAGCCTCTGAAGTTATATTAAAAAACAAGGAAAAAAGTTTTGCTCTTATGTACACTTGTTATTTCCATTGAAACCTCTACACTCATCCGATGCAAAGTTGACAAGTACTATTCGCTAAGCTCAAAAAGGGTAGGAAATTTTGTCTATTATTAAACTTATCTAATTAACTAATCTAACTAACATGAGACCAAACTTAACATCAAATACGTCAGTCATGGAGCAAATTAAGACGAACGAGCCTTTTGTTGGTCAGCAACAATTGTCAACCTTAAATCGAACGTTGCGGTGAAATCCAGATAATATCAATGTGAGATATTTACAACAGCTGGATGTATCGTTTATAATGGTAAAATTTGAGGATGCTGACGGCGTACAGCACGCCATTCTCGAAAGCCTTCTTTTCTGTAGGCCGCCAGAGCTAGTCATACCTTTTCGTAATAATAATAAGGTGAAGAAATAGATCGTGTTATTTACCTCGGACCAATCTTACAGTTATAGCTTTTTAACAATCACCCTACAATTTGTAGCAGTCGAAAATTTTTTATTTAGTGCCCACATGCTGGCTAGACTTAGCGGTTTGTCACAGTCTTAGGAACGTTCATTCACTTTTATGCAATAAATTACATTAATAAAATTATACTAAGCGATTCCCTTTTTCTAATCTAAGTATGCTTAATCTTATCTAAGTATGCGACGTAGAAGTATTGAGGGTCCGGAGTATCAGCTTAGTGTTTCAATGTTACTGCGAGAAACTATATGAGTTCTGTGACTGTTTAACGCTGACCAATGAATTCTCATGAGACCATTTTCGAAAATCACGAAAAACTTAAATCGAGACTGTTTAGTTTCGATACCTATAGATAGCGACAAGTTTTGAAAGCTCACCGAACACTACACGCTTATGTGGAGTTAATAAATACTTTTTGACGCAAGACTAATTCGTTGTTTGAAAAAGGATTACGTTTAGGTAAAGCATGTTAACAAACAAATACTTTTAAAGGTTCGTCAAATCGTGTGTTCGTAGAATTTGGCTGCAGCGGTAATTTTGTTATGTCGCTGTGCTCCGTACAGGATCACTCAGTTCAATTTCAACACGACCTCATAACATGACGCTCTTGTGGTGAGAATTAATAATGGTAATGAGGCGCAATCCATTACCGATTTTTAAGGAGTTCATGTAAAGGATTTTTTTCGAGCATGAAAAAGGTCACTATCTAGGTGTTTGTAAAAATATGCTCCTTTCTAGAATCAGATCGCAGAAGAATAGCTTGTGGACACCTAAAATCTGGAAGTTGGACCTTCTGAAACTCTATATGCATTCAACCTAGTTGGCCTGACATACCGAGAGTGCTTCCGACACTTCCGGACAAAAGACGTTAGTCTCCGTCCCCAGGCGCCATTGTCAAGGTAGCGGTATTGATTAAACGTCACTTCTAAGTCACTAAACGTGAAGCGGATCGGCCATTCTTAAGACTGCGTTTTCAATAGTTACGAAGGACTCGTAGTCTCAATGCCTCCCATCACCGATTGAAATCAAAATGTTTGTTTCCTTTTAAGAAGTAAACAAGTATTTCATGCTAAAAATTCTCGTCCTACTTTTCTATGTTCGAAAAAACTAAATGCTAGTAGATACTGTAGTTATACGTATTGAGATTATACATCAAGGCTTTTCTTTTGAGGGCTAGATAAATCAAAATATAATTTGGACGATACACGAATGCAGAACAGGCACAGATGGCGCAAACCAGACAACAAACGGGCGTTTTTCTTCAGTTTTGTTCAAATTCCACCTCGGCGTTTATAGCCAGCTTTTGTACAGCATTTTGCTTGGTATGCATATTTGCCCTATCAGCTAAAAATTTAAAAATCTGTAAGAAATCTGTAAGAAAAGAAAAAAAGAAAAAAGCGCTCGAAGTTTTCAATATGATTTTCCTGGCGAAATGCATTTATTGTGTGACTATCCAGCTGTGAGCACCGGCGACAACTTGGATGGTGGAGCAGTGGAAATCGACAAAGAAGCCAGACCAAATAATTGTCATCGCCACTTTATTCCATGGAACTTGAAAGTATGTAACAGCGTTGTAACCAATCGACACATGGCAAAATATAACCGACACTAGGACGGCTAGGAAAAGTGGGCCGAAGGGAGTGCGATAGGATGTTCTGAATTCGAACACGGGAGAGCCCCTCGAACAAAGTCAGCTGCATAATTGTTAGTACTAATATAGTGCTATGTAAAACAGTACTTCAGCTGTATTTTTTCAATTGATATTTCAATTAATCTATTGTGAGTGGCTAAATAATGCTATATATAAAAATAAAATCAAGTAGTTGTTGTTAAAGTTAGAGTCTAAGGCACCGGCACGCTTATAATCCCTTTCCAACTCCGTGAGAAATGGTCGTTGAAATGATACTGTACTGTATAGCGTAAAGTATTCGAACTCTAATTGGCTGAAAAGGCTATATCTAGTAGTACAAAAAAAACTTTGATATTTCTAAACTATTCGATCATGTAAAGAAACAGACCGACGTGTTTATCTTACCGTACCTTCTAGCATGTTCCTTATTATCTTCTGCTTTGTTTTGACTCTAGATCCTCAGCATCCGCCAATCGTGTCTACTAACGATGAATAGAGCATGTCAACACAGTCTTCAATCCATTGATGAATTAATTGTTCTGTTCACAGGGAATGGCCAATACAGATTCTACGAATAATCATTACAGCACAATTATAACGATCTATATGACGTACAGTATAGCTAAACAGTATCTTGCCAATGTTCAATTATTGCGTGCACAGTTGCTTCGCTACGGGAATCAATGCTTTTATTTCCAGCAGGAAAAATATGGAGTTTACGATACTCTTTACTCGATAAAAAGTTTGTATATGTATTAATTTAGGTTAGCTAATTCCTAGCCGTGGTCTATGTGGGTCGAAACGTAACCCAGTAGAACCCAATTTTTGGTGAATCATAGATTCAAGAAGATTCTGAAGAAGTGTTAGATACGAGAACAAGAAAGGAAAACGGTTTAAGTTGGAGTGTGCCTTGTCGACGTTACACTCATTTTCATAACAACACATTATTGTTAGATATACACAAAAAGCAGAAACAAAAAGCACACGGTTAGTCATTAATATTGTTTGACAACGTAAGAGGCTGCCATTTTTTCTCCGTCCAACATACCACTATTCTGAGTACATTTTCCCCGCTGCCGGTGCTGCGCCCACTCACAGAATAGACCGACATGCTGCTACCAGCTGCAACTAGAGTCTCTTCATACTCGACCATTCTGCTAGCTCGGGATACCACGTGTAATTACCTTCAACATGCGATTGTGTAAGTCATTGCTTAAGATTTCTATTTACGAAAGACAATTACCTGATGAGAGCTAATAGTCAAGGACGTCGTCAGAGTTCGATGGTGGGGTAAACGTTGATTAATCGAAAAGAAAGCAATTTACCCCGGTGATACTTTTGCGGTGTTCATTTGTTGTGAAAGAACTCTTACATGTGTTATACAAATGGCCAGTGCGCGGATAAACATTATAAAAGTACTTTTACTTTCAGCGAAAAGCTCAAAATTTGAACCTTCGGTTACGCAATTTTTTGAGTCTATATCAGGCAGTTCGAAAAGGTCACAGTGTTAAGGATTAAATTCACGATTTCGTTACTTTTTTAAGATGCCACTTCAGCTACATGCAAAATAAAGTCTATAGTTACATCTTGCGGTGAAAAGTGGACGCCCGTTGATGGCAAGACGACGTCCTTGCAGGCGATCGAAGCCATGGCCATGAGGCATTGTCAATGCGATTACAAGGAGCAATCCCTGGCTAAGCAAATGGAAGGAAACCGACAATAACTCATCTAGAACTCGTCTGTGTGAGCTCAGGGTAGCCAACAGTATCGTCTTTTCCGACAGACATCATATGTCTTCGTAGGTAAGTGTATCGTGATGGACATCAAAAGAGAGGATGGTGTTGAATGCCTTAATCAGAATGAATTAAAGCAGCCTCATGTCGAGGGCCGATTCGAAACCAGAGTTTAACAGTGGGTCGAAACGAAACTCTTACCGGTCACCGTTCGAAGTTCTTTTGACATGAGATAAAAATCAAATCTATTTTCAGACGATATCTATTTGAAAATACCTCAAGCCTATAGAAAACGCCAGTAGACTATAAGTTGATGAAAAAATAGAAAAATCGTAAATTTTTTCAATTCATATAAATATATTTCAACGATTTCACGTATCTGATCCAATTAATATTAATTGAAATCGAGCTCCGAGACATAGATGCATTTATCGGTCAATATACAGTACTGCCTTTCAAAATACAAAGATAAACTCATCCTTCTTTACTTTTTTGAATGATAGGTATTAAGGTACAGTCACCGTCTTTGTATTGTTTAGCCGTCGACTTGTACCTATATTGACAGATAAATGTGTTGTCTGTTTGTGATAGCTTTACTAACATGAAGGTTCGATATCGACTAAACTTAATAAGTTGCGGGTGTATACAGGGTCATTAGATGTATTTTTGCAATTTGTATAATTATTTTTTTCGTTTTTTATCAACTGTGCTTAATTAAGTGTGACGCACAACTAAACTTATAAGCTTCATCTTTGATCTACAATTCTGTTCTTGTTGGCCAACTCTGGCCCTTTTAAACTAAATTCATATACTATTTTTTCAAAAGCGCTATATTCGGTATAAGATGTCAAACATGTGTTTAAGATAAAAAAAAAAACGTTAATTCATAACCCAAAGTACATAGATCGAAATTGAAGACGGGGTACAATTTTTATTAACATTCTCAGCTTGTGTCCTTGAATAATGTCTGCAGTAAATAGAATATAGGCCTAAAAACGCGCAAAAGCACTAGAGTGTTGTCACATGCAGGTTTTTAACAATTAGCAAGCTTCTACCTAGATTTTTTCTAACTTCATTAATCGAGACAGC